TGCAACGAGAGCGAATCGAGGGCGTCGGGTAGGTGAAACTGTTGCAACGTCCTCGGAGGCTGAGCCAAGCCCCCCCTCCCCGAATTGCAAAGATTGGAGGGGGGAGCTAGGAGAGGAAGGTGCCCCCCCATCCCTCAGGCGCTGCGAGCTCAGAGCCGGCTTTGTGGGACGCAGAGCGGAGGTTCCCTCTCGACGCTGGGGTATGGGATGAGGAGGGCCACTCTTACCTCCATCAGCCCCCCCGACGTGTCCAAGTCATACACGATCGTCTTGGTCTCCATTTTCTCCCACATTCATCCACCTCCCGGGCTGGGCGCTCTCTGCTTCGGCCCCCCCCAACCCCAGAGGGCGGGGGGAAGCGGGGGGAGGGGGCGCTCCTGACCCCGACCCCCCTTCTTTTTCCTCGACACCGGTCCCGACTTACTCGACCTGGCTCCCCCCCACCCCCCGGACCCCAGTCCCCGGGACGACAGCGTCCTCCCCACGGGCCGTGAGGGGGAGCGGCCCCTCAGCCCCGGCTAGGTGGCTGGCTGCACCGTGGGTCCCGGCTCCAGGGGTCAGGCCTCGGCGGGGCCTAGTCCCACAGGCTAAAGCCGGCGCTGGCGACCGCTGGTCCAGCCGGGAAGGCTGGCGGGCGCTGCCATCCCGGGGTTGGGGGGACCGGAGGGGGGATGAGAGGTTAGGTGAGGTTGTGGTACGTGAGGTGACTGGGGGGAGGGTGATGGGGGGTGGTCCCCGGGCTCCGCCTCTCGCCGCCGCCGCCGTCTGCGTCCCGGCTGCCGCGCACTTGGCGCAAACTTACCGCGAGCGCCCGCAAAGCCACCCGCGCAGGCGCCCCGGGATCGCCGCTTGCCGCGCGCAACCGCAGTGACAGCCGGCGGCCGGGCTCCCGCGCAGCCGCGGTGAGGGGGCACCCCCCAGCGCGCAGCCGCGCTGGCATTTGCCCGGCGCTCCGAAGCCCCGCCTTTCTGCCCTGCGCCAGCGTACAGCGGCAAAAGGGCGGGACCTGAGGTCTTGCGCAGGCGTCTAAGAGGGCCCGCAAGGGTCACAGCGCAGCCGCAAGAATCTGGGACGCTTCATCCATTGGTGTTTGTGTCTAGCTCAACAGGACGCTGTTCCCGCGCAGGCGTGTTGGGGCGCCTTCCCTCCCGCCCCACAACACAGCTGCCTCCCGCGCAGGCGTATTGTCACCCGCTGGCCCACACACAAAATGCTTCTCCTTTCGCCATTTTGGTAATGGATGTAGGCTACCGTGCCCTCGCTCTTGAGGTGAGCAGGCAGAAGGAAGTGTAGTGTTGGCTGGAGTTGGCGGGCTGTCAGTGACAGCAGTATGCCTCGGGACGTTGTATTAGACTGCTTGGTTTCAGCCTCAGGTGCGGCCGGATCAGGCCGCCATATTGGTAAAGAGAAAAGAAAGGCCTTCTGGTAGTGGGTTGACTGGCTGCGGTTCCCAGGTCCCTCCCGCGCCCGACTGTTGATTTGAGCCCGAGCATCCCTGCCTTGCGTGGTGATGGTGCCATGGAGACCTCTGCCTGCCCGTGACTACCCTCTCGACCAGTGTTCCTGAGAACTGCTCTGCAAAAAGGAGACTTTGTAACGCCGACAACGCCCAGCTACCTACCCAGAACGGAACTTTAATTCCCAATTTGCATTGCGCATGGGGGGGGCAAAGGGTGAACGGGAACGCGTTGCATCTTGGGAGCAAGGATCGCGATAGCTCGGATAGATTGTGGGAACTGTAGTGCGTGCGGTGCACATTATGATAGGATGGGCTCCTGGAAGAGCGATTTGCCTGCTGGGAAAGGATGCTGGAGTACTGCATGCTGGGATTTGTAGTGTGAGGACCTCACCTAGAATTCTGGGCGGGACCTCATGCTTCGCTCGTAGGCGCCCGCCCCTGCCATTGGCACTGCTGACAGTGATTGCCAGTTTTCTCAGCCTGACTGGATGAAGCAGTGGAGAAGGGAACCGGGTCATTGTATCTGATACTAGGTATTGTTGGCCGATAGCTTACCTCTATTATTATTTTTTAAACTTTTTATAGTGAATTGAATGAAGGTTTACAGAGGAGATCATCAGTTTTACATTCAACAAGTCATATGCTTTTTGTTTAATTTCATTGATTACAAATCCCCTCAATGTAACATCACTTCCCCACTTCCTGTGTTTTCTGTTTCCAGTTTTTTCTTCTTAAACCTTTCTGAACTTTGGCCTTGCTGCCCTTTGTGATCTCAAATGGCCGATTATCCTAAAGTGTGTGTATCTCACTATTGTTATCCTTTTCCCTTAAAGACCTGTCTTGTTTGGCTGAAAATTGAGCTACAAAGGAGAGTTTGTTTGCGGACCTGCAGAATGACTAAGGACCTTGGTCTTTCAGGTCCCACTAGTCTCCATCCAACCAATAAGCCTGTTTTTGTTTTTTTAAATAACGATATTGAATTTTGTTCCATATTTTTCTCCCCCTCTGCCTTCTGATGGGATCACTTTTAGTGCCGTTGGTGCTGCCATTTTGAGGTTCACACATGTCTGCACACTTAACATCCTCAGAATGGTGCAATGGGAAAAGGTTTACAAGGCCATCTGATCCATCACAAGGATCAATCTAGAACTCCCTCCCAGGGGGACAAATAATGGAAAAGTGGGTGATGGGCGATGGAGGACAATGTAAGATATGGAAAAAATAGTCTATAACTTATCTAGGGTTCATGAGGGCGGGCGGGCAGGGGAGGGAGGAGGAAGAAATGGGGAGCTGATATCAGGGGCTCAAGTGGGAAGAGAATGCTTTGAAAATGATGATGGCGGCATATGTGAAAATTTAATTGGCACACCGGATGAATGTATGGATTGTGATAAGAGATGTAAGAACCCCAATAAAAGTGTTTTTTTAAAAAAGAGACCATCTGATTTAACCCCCTTGTTTCAAAATGTCCAGAGAGGAGTGGCCATTTGCCTAGGTCACGTAGTAGATTGATGCCGACTTAGGGATGAAATAGAATTTTTGATTCCTAGGCCAGGATACTGCCCAGTACACCATGCTAACTGTCTCTGAAGAGCTGCTCTTCCTCCTCCTGGGGTCGTGACTAAGGTGCATTAGATAGCGTAGGGATGCCAGTGTGTGCAGTGTTAGGCTTCTGCTGTTCTGATGACCCTTTTGGTACCTAGGAAGGGTGATAGATTTTAAGAGATTGTCATGTACCTCTATCAGCTTTGGTTTGTAAGAGACATCTATGACACCTTAAAAAAAAAAAAAAAAAAAAGAGAAACCAGGCTTACTCGTTGGACAGAGACTGGAGGGACCCCCCAAGACTATGGCCTTTCGTCACTCTCAGATCTGGAACTGAACTCACCCCCTCTCCATATTAGAATAACGAGTCCTTTGGGATCAAAAGGGCAGCATTTACCCAAGGACAGAGTTCAGAGGGTTACGAAGGAGGAGGATGGGAACCAGGAAACAGATGGAGGCAGTGGGCTAAGTGGTGGCGCATTGAGAGGATTGTAGTGGATATGCGTTGGAACAAGATGTGTATGAATTGTTCACTGTAAAGTGGACTATCCGCTTTACAAGCCTTCACCCAACCCACAATAAGAAGTTAAAGCGAGAGAGGTCTGTGTCTCTGGGTCAGAGACATGGTCCTCAGAGAAGGGAGGGCTGAGCTAGATTGTTTGTATGGGAACTGTCAGACCCCATCTTTCTTGGGGTTGTGTTTCATGCAGGGTCAGATTACCCAGTAAGCAAGGTAAGCACAGGCTTATTTGTGCTTGCTTACTAATCTGTTGTGAATGGTTTTACTTTTTTTTTTCCCACCGCATAAAAAATTCTGTGTATATTACATTTTTTAAAAATTCTATTTCAGGATATGGCTGGCGTCTGTCTCTCTCCCAACTCCACAGTACCGTTCTATAGAATCAAAGGTACAATCCCTCACAGGGACAGAGCACCCAGGAAGCAAGTCAAATCAATGGGTTTACTTGTGCTTACCTACTGATCTATAGTGAACAGTGCCACGTTTTCCTTTTTTAAGTACATAAAGATTTGGTGAAACCCACGTGAAATTGTTTGCCACAGAACAGTAAGTAGGAACAAATGAGCTCGCTTACCTTGCCTTTTGGGTAATCCACCCTTGATTTCATGCCCCGAGCCCTCTTAACATTGAAACCCTCTGTGACCTATCTACTGGCTTCCTTCATACATCCCAGTGCCCAGCTGTGCTGCTGTCAGCCTGAAGGCATTACGGGGCAGATAAGTAAGCCATTGGCACGTGCCAAGTGAGCAAGGCTTTGCTTTAATCAACACTAACAGTTACAGGTGAAAAACGGGACCAGGAGGTGAGCTAATGAAAGAAATAAGACTTGGCTCTGTGGAAAAGCACCAGGGAACTAACTACTCCATACACCTACCTCTTGAAACTTGGAGGATGAGATTGACCCCGCTGTGGGCCGGACTGTGGATGGTGGATTGAGGAAGTGAGCAGATGGGCTACAGATGTGACCTCTTGTGGCTATCCTGGGCACTACACCCTACATGGACGGACCTTTATATCCTTCTGGGGCCACCTGTGCTGGAGCTGGAGCTGGAGGTGATTGTGAGGGATGAGTTGAACCAAAGGTGTATGAATTGTTGAATGTAAAACAGATTATCTGCTCTGTAAACCTTCACCTAATCCACAATGGAGACGTCTATGTCCGTGGGTCAGAGATAGGGCCCTCTGAGAAGGGAGGGTATGTGTGTGTGTTTGGTGGGAAGGGGGTGCTTGGATTCCCACACCCTTGGGGCCCTCATTCCACCTGCTGTCTACTTATTGGGCTTTTGGGGACCATGGACCCTGAAACAACAGAGGCTGCTGGTCACCTTGTTGGTTTGTCTATATGTGTCAAGACTGAGGATGATTGATTCGGGGTGGGGGGTAGGGGTGTCCAGTCCGCATGGTCTCAGAGCCCACAGCCCATGTTATCTCCCACCTCCCTTCCCGCCAAGAAAGCACCATCCGCCTGGCTGTTGCTTAGTTTTTTTCCAAAACACCATTTTAATAAGGAAACAACAGAAATAAAAGATTGCTCTCTGACAGGAGCCCAGACCCCCTATAATACATTGCATGTACAAAGTGGCCTGCAGCCACCTCCTGGTTCTCGGACCCCTGCTCTGCGCCAAACTCCTGGGGCTTCTGCTGCTCTCTGGGATATGCCTGCCCACTCTCTCGCCCACAAACACGTGGCCAGGAGGGAAACCTGGCAAGTGGCTGGGGTGGTAGGAAGGAACGATGGGAAAGAGAAGGCTGGTAACATCCAGATTGACATCAGGGGAAGTTCTTCTCCTCTGGGTATAAGGTTGCCAGGGAAGTAGTGTGGTGGGGACCCCAGGCAGAGCTTTAAGTAGGGTCCCTGAGCCCCATAATACCCCTTAGAATCATCACTTCTACTGGGAAGGAGAAGGAGGCTGAACTGTCCATTCTAGAGAGGAACCAGAGACCTCCCTGAGGGCTGGGCTGGGCCTCTAGGGACTACTCTGAGGCCACCCCGGAGAGAGCTGTTTTGGCCACTGGTGTTGGCCCTGTGAGGAGCACCCACGCCCAGTTTCCACCACTGTCATGTTGCTCTGCCAGGGCTGATGGCAGTCACGTGCAGATGGGTATCACGTTGCCGGTGAGTTCAAGGTCGGAGGGACAGGGAAGGTGGGAGGGTCAGGAGAATGCTGGTCCTTGATGCATGTGCTCTAGGCGAGTTTGTCCTCCGGCAGATGCCCCCCGATGCCCTTGGACCCAAGGAAGGGCTTTATGTGGGCAGTGGTAACAGGAAACAGGCCCTGGTGGGCCTCGCAGGTGGGGAAGGGCACAATTTCTTGAGGGGCTGGTGGCATCTCTTCCCAGGTGGTATGTACAGAGGTGCAAGGCCAGCAGGAAGCCAGGAGCCTGGTGCCAGGCCGGGCCGCAGGGCCGTCTAGATGGAAACTTCTATTCTTTCGTCTCCTGCAAAGCAAAGCAACTGCTGGGAGTGAGAACCTTGTGCTATACAGCCTGTCAGGCTCGAATCCTCCATCCCAAGGAGAAGGGAATGAGTACGAGGGGTGGGGTGGGCAGGGTACCTGCCCAAGGGAGCAGAGAACCGGGCCCAGACAGGGTGCCAAGGCTGGCATCGGTACTTACTCCAGTCTCATAAGTCGGATTGTCAAATGCTGACTCCACGGTGATGCGGTCATAGGGCTGGGGGGGTGTCTGGGGCAGCTGCAGGGTGGTTTTCCCCTGGAGCCTGTGGCGGCAGAGTAACCCGGGAGTCCGGAATACTTGGCAGAGCTGGGCCCCAGTAGCCCCCAGGGATGCAGGGCAGGTAGGGAAGCGTGACTCACCTGAAGAAATAGACATACGCACCGCCCACCAACAGCACCATCGCGACCAGTGGCAGGAAGATGGCTGCTGCAATGTGGGCAGCGTCCAGGACGCTGGAGGCAGCGGGCGTCTTGGCAACTGAAAATACAGGGTGTGGGGTGGCTCCAGGACCCTGTCACCTGGAGCTCACCCTCCTCCTTGCCCCTTCCCCAGAGCCTCTGGCCACCAGCTCCCTGTAGCTGGCTGAGAGCAGTAATGAGTTGGGGGCCCTGCTGCTTTCTGACCTCCCTCTTCCTCTGCCCTCCCTCCTGGGGGAGTTCTGAGGACAGGGGCAGGAAGAGCTCACCATCCAGGCTGCGGCCGCTGTAGAACGCATCCGGAGAGGCTGGAACAAGAAGGGAGGGCCAAGGACAGTGCGTGAGGCCACGGAGGCCAAACCACTAAGGCAGGGAGTGATCACGGGAAGGGTTTGTTCACGGAGCCCCCAGCCCAGTATTTGTCCTGCAGGTCAGAAGGATCTGGCAGAGACTGGGGAGAGACCGAGGGTCACAGAGGCAGGGATTGTGGACACTGGACATCTTCGCCAGGGGTCCTGGGGCTGGCAGGGCACTCACCAGCTGCACAGGTGGGTGGGGGGTCACTCCAGTGTGAGGGGTGCCCAGGCACACACTTGATGCTGGCCTGACCTTTCAGCACATAGCCAGGGGCACATGAGAAGTGAATGGTGGCCCCTGCTGGGTGGAGCCGCTTCTCAGGACTTCGGGCCCCATTCTCAGGGGCGCCAAGGCTGGGGCACGGCTTGAGCTGCTCCACTGCGAAGCAGGCAGACGCGAGTGAGGGCCCCAGGCCTCTAGTTTCAGGGACAGCATCTTGCATCCCTTACTCAGCTGACACTTACCAAGACACTTGGGGGCCCGGTCACTCCACTTGGGGCTGCCGGCCTGGCGGTCATGGCAGGTGAGGACAGCGCTGCCCGTCAGCACAAAGCCCTGGTCACAGAGATACTGCACGGTGGTCCCCACGGGGAACTTGGGGCTGGATACAAGGCGCCGGCTGTGCTCCACATCCCCAGGGTCACGGCAGGAAGTCACTACAGGGAAGGGGGGCAGGGGGTAGGGCAAGGAGGGAGGGCACTTGGTCCAGGAGAATTCAGCAAACGTCAGCTCAGACTGGCTCTATCCCAGCCAGAGGGCTCCCCTGCCCCAACTACTGGGTCACTGTGCTGGCCCCCTCCCATCCATCAGAGACAAATACAGATGACCATCTACTGGGAGCAAAATGTTTGGCGTTCTTGGCGGATGGCCCAACGAGAAGGTATCATGCCCATTTTACAGATGAGGAAGCTGAGCCCTCAGCAAAGGACCTCCGAGGGCAATGCTCAAATCTGGGGGAAAGGCGGGCGGGCAGGCAGGAGGGAAGCTTGGGGGTGGGAGGTAGGCATACTCACCCCGCTGACAAGAGGGCAGGTCCTCACTCCAGGTTAGGTCCCACTGACACATGAGGACACTGGACCCCACCACTTGGTAGCCGGGGTAGCACTGGTAGGTGACCACAGTGCCGTGTACCAGCTCAGGTTGCGACGGGCTCTTCCAGCCATTGGGGATCTCGGGCAGCTCTGGACAAGTGTCGTTGCGGGGTACCTCTGGGGGTGCAGGGAAAAGCAAGGTGCAGGCTCTCAGCTTGTATCACGGCGACGGGGGACTGGGTCTGCTCAGTGATGCATTCCTCCCCACTCATCACACACACACACACACACACACACACACACACACACACACACACACACTCACACTGTCTCCTCCAGTCTTGGTTGTCATCCAGATTTTGGCTTTTCTTCTGAAAGCACTTTGACCCAGCGAGATGGGTCTGGGGAAGATGGGGGAAACTCTCACTTCCATTAAAGATGGTCAGAAACCCCTCAAGACCAGTTTTTGTTATGAAGTTCTCCCTGCTGTCTAGCCCAAGTCTCTCTTGCTGTAACAGAAGGCCCCTTTTGTCTTGCAGGGCCCTCAGGGAAGACGGAGAGCAGGGCCAACCTCCTGCAGGTGATCCCTAAGTGTTCCCAGAATGCCCTGGTTAGATGGGAGTTCTCAGTTCTCTGTCCCCCGGCCTCTCTGACTGTCCCTGGTATGGGCTCTCCTCTCAGGCACCCTTTCTGCCCCAGGCAGCAGAGCGGGCCAAGTACAAGCTCACCGAAGAAGTGGATGACGAAGCCCTGCTGGTAGCCCAGCACAGGGGCCCCGGGGTCCGACTGGAACTGGATAGTGACGTCAGCCATGGAGGTAAAGAGCTTGAAGTGGCCGCGGGGCCCTGAGTACTGTCCCAGGACCCGAGCTGTCAGGTCATCCCCATCATAGAAGGTTAGCACATCCCCAGAGCCAATGCGGAGCCTGTGGAGGAGGATGTTCAGGGCCAGCCAGGCCAGGAGGCTGCCGGGGGGGCTGGGCAAGAGGGCTGGCCGGGGCGGTGGGCACTCACACTCGGACATCCAGCATGATGCGCTTGTCCTCCTCCACGTGCACGCCCCAGATGCAGTCCTGCCCTCGGCCATAGGGCTCCGGCCAGTTCGGGGAGAGCACCACGCCAGCTGAATCTGTGATCTCCCCGCTGCACACGGCTGCAAGGCAGGGAGGCCCGGGAGGCGTGTCCCCTCTGCGATCCCCCCCCAGTGCCATGTCCTGGGGCTGCCACCTGCCTGCAGGAGTGCTTGCCCCTTGCTGGGAGCCTGTCCCCTCTGAGCTCCCAGGGCTCGGTACCCACTCTCTCGTCTCCACCCTTCTCCCTGCCCCATACAGGCCTGGCTGCTGGTGACTACTGACCTCGGCAGGCCGGCTCCGTCTCATTCCACTGGGGGTCGTGGGAGTCCACACATTCGATGATGATGGAACCTTGCTCCAGGGTGTAACCAGGGTCGCAGCTGAACTCCACCGTGGTGCCCACGGGGTAGGAGGGCGCACTGCTGCTGAAGTTGCCGTATTTGACAAAAGGCTCATAGCAATGGCCCTGCTGGAAAGCTGTGGACCACAGGGCCCAACTGGGCTCAGCCTCGGGTGGGCCCACAGAGGGGCAGACAGCTTCTGTTTTTCAGGGCCTCCTCTTCCCAAGAGCTCACAGAGGGCTGGGTTCAGCTCAGGGCAGCCCTCTGCTGAGAGCTGAGGCTCAGGTGGCCATTGGTCACAGCCCAGCCAGCCCCATCCTGACTGACAACGACCCCGTGAGCATCGGCGTGGAGCTGTGCCCATGGAGCCTTCCATGGTTACTTCTCCTGAAGTAGACCAGTGGGCTTTTAGGGCGTTCCTGCTCTTCAAACACATTTCTTGGGGCCCAGAGGGAGGAGGGGTGTAAATGCCAGGTGGGCGGGGCAGAGTGGGGCGGGCTGATGGAACGGAGGCTTAGAGGAGACATGAGATCCAGGACCCCCAGCCCCCTCTGTCTGCTGGGCAGGTCCGGCAGGCTCACCCTCATAGCGCAGGGCCATGCCCGCCGCTGCCCCGCTGCTGTCGGTGCCGAACTCCACAAAGAAGTGTCGGCCAGCGCTGAGCAGGCCCTCGATGGGCAGGTATTCCACCTCGTAGGAGTCGTACACGGGCGGGGCCTCCACGTTGTCTCCATTGCGGATGATGAGCCTGGGCCAGGAGAGGGGCTGCGTGACCGGTCCCCTGGCCCCAGTAGGCGGTGCCCCACCCCACTGGACAGTCCCTCACCTGTCGTCATCCTCTGCCAGGGAAACCTTCTCGAAGTGCAGGTGCAGCCGCTGGCCCGCGGGCGCCTCGAGCAGCCAGTGGCACGTCAGGTTGTTGCTGTAGTTTCCGGGGTACCCCGGAGAGACAATGCGGCCGATGGTGGCGTTGCGGACCACCCCGCCGCAGGCAGCTGCGAGACAGGGACCCGGATGCTAGGTAGGGGCCCTGACTGGACCCTGACCAGCCCTCCCTCCCGGCTCTGTGGCTTCTGCTGCCCTTGCTTTTGTGGTGGGAAGGCCAGTCCTCCGTCCCTGTGGCTCTGCTGCCCCGGTAGCCTGGACTCACCCCAGAAGCCTACCTCTGAACTGCCCACACTGCTGCACCGTTCCTGTGCAACTCCTGGGGTGGCACATGGATCTGTCACTGCCTGGCCTTATGCCCTGGGTGAGTCGTTTCCCCTTTCTGCTGATTCCTACAGGGAGCGTTCCAAGATCTCCCCAGCTAGACTACATGACAGCTTCTTATCTTTGGCTCCAACCTTCTTGGCTCTCTCTCTTCTCTCTCCCCCATGCACTTTTCTTAAAACCAGTTGTTGGCTTGGGTATGTGCCTTAATTGGGGGTCCCTTGGATGGGGCGAGGCAGAGTTGATGCCAGTATTTGTTGACTGAAACCAGGGAGAAAGTGGATGTGAAAAGGGAGCACATCTTGAGGACAAAGGCCTGGTGCTCTTGGCACGCTCTGCGTGTGAACTAGCTGGCATCCGGAAACCAGTTGGTGGGCTCTCCAGGGCCCACTACCACTGCCATCCCCGGCTGACCCCTGGGCCCAGGGACTGCCTTCCGGTTCTCTTCTGAGCAGCTTACCCGCCCCCGTCGCTGAGGTTTGCCAGGACAGGAGCAGTGTGGTCCGTTCCAGCGGGCCCTTCCTTGCCTGCACACAAAGCTCAGGCCCTCTCAGCTCTGCACCTCTACATGCTCAAGGATGCTTGAGCCCAGCCAGTCACGTTCTTGGGAGGGGAGGGGAACGCTTCTCTGCACCAGGGCAAGACCACCTTCCTGCTAGGTACTCAAATGGAGCAGTCCTTCCAATCCCATCAAGCTCCATCCTTGGCTTCAAACCCCTCAGGGGCTCCTGACTGCTGGCAGGAGAGAGTCCAAGCTCAAAATGAAATTCCAGGCTCGTGAATGCAGCTTTTCTGCCCAGTGCCGGCCTCCTCTCCCCGAAGCTCACTCTGTCTCCACACCTTTGCATAGGCTCTTCCAGGAATCCGGCCCGCTTTCTCTGGCTAACATCCCACCCACCCTCCCTTGGGCCCCCACATGGTCCTCCATGAGCTCCTTGCCAGGCTTCCTGGAGAACAGAGACCACACCCACCTGTCTGGCTCCTCTCTGGTTGTACCTGGTACCCCCAAAAGGCACAAGGGAGTGAACTAAGGTTCAAAAGCCCATAGCAAAGCCGTCATCTTTTTATCCCAACAAGGTCTTTCCCCCAGCTGCCCCAGACCTCCCGATGGCCCAGGGCCTCGAGCAGGGAGTCCCCTCATCCTCTTCAGTGTCTCTGGAACCTGTGACCACCTGGATTCCCAAGGTCACTGTCCAAGGGTAGACCTCTTGCCGGGCAGACTGCTGCCAGCCTCCAGACAAACCACTTAGCTGGCTGTCCTGAGGACAGCTCTGAGCTCCTCCCCCCTCTTCTCAAAACCCTGCAACAGCTTCCCAGGATCTTGGCCTGGGGGTCAAGTCCTGCTCCTACCCCTCTACTTGCCTCAGGGTCCCTAAATCCTCTCCCCTTCCCACATTTGTGCCACTGCCCGTGATGGTGTTCCCTCAACTGAAATGCAAGCCTCCAGTGTCCCTCTCCCGGGAAGCTTCTAAATGCCCAACAAAGAGTGACTGCCTCCTCGATTCCCAGGCCTCTTTGTGTCTCCGCTGTGGCCCCCGCTAGCTCCTGCTCTGGACCTTGTCCACTTAGGTGGACTTCCTTCTTCCTCTTTCCTGGAACTGGGGGTTCTTTGAGGGCGCTATTTAAGTCCGTGCTGACACCCGGGTAGGGCCTCCTTTTGGCAGGTGCTTCATAAAGTCCGATGGGATGAAGGCCACCAAAACATGGCCATTTTCTGGTTTCTTCTAGAGAACGAGGTTCAGAGTCAGTGGCAGCCAGCCACAGAAAGCAGGGGTACGCCCCCTCCCCCGTGACCTCATTCCCCTTCGCAGCCCTTGCTTGCCCTCGGGGCTACGCACCGATGCAGACTGGCTCTTGGGAGTCCCAGAAGGGCTTGGTGGCATTGAGGCAGGTAAGGAGCCTGGCACCTTTCAGCTGATAGCCAGTGGCACAGTGGAAGCGGGCACTGCCTCCTGGGTGGAGGCTGGTGACCGTAAGATCTCCATAAGCTGGACGTCGGGGAAAGTGACAGGTCAGGAGATAAGCTAGAGAGAGAGAGAGAGAGGTTATGGGGAGGGGGCCTGAGCCATTGTTAGTGGCAAGGGAACTGGTTCCAGCCTCCACTGCCAAGAATAGGCTTTGGGGGCCAGAGGAAGCATAGAGAATTCCAGAAAAGACTCCAGGCCCTGAAGGTGCAGGTGGTTTTCCAGCAACGTGGTCTGGTGAGTGGAGCAAGCCCAGAGCTGGGAGGTAGGAGGCTAGGGTTCTCCCCCAAGCTCTGGGACACTTTGGGCGGGCTCCTTAACCTCTCTGTCTTGCTCGGTGAACTGAGGTTCCCAATGCCAGCCCATCTACAAGGTTCTTGTGAGACCAAATGGGACTTTATTTCACTCACTGTGATATCCCTGGACCTCAAGATATGTTTATTGAATGACTTAGAAACGAGAAAGCACTAGAGATGGTCAGAAGTTTATGTCAAGGGCTGCGACTTCCCCCCATGGAGGGCAGATGTGCAAAAAGAAGCAGTAGAAGCTTCTTTTTATTCATGGAGGAATACGAAAATGTTTGCTGGAAACGACTCTTAAAAACGGAATGGGGGCAAGGGTGGGAGTACAGGCTCGCCTTCTTGGAAGTTGGGGGAGGGATGCGTTGCCTGGGAAACCTGGGGGCTTGGGGAATTGCTATGCCAAGTATGACCAAGTGGTGGCAGCAAATCCCACAAAACAACCTAGCCAATCTCGACTGGGGCCCAGAGGGTCTGGGCAGGGATGTGAGAGGGGTGGACCTCGGCTTGGAGGGTGGTGAGGAGAGATTCAAGGGCATGGTTAAGCTCCTGGATCTGAAAACCATGGGGCGTGTTAGGAGGGATGAGAACGATCTAGCCAGTGAGAAAGCACCTTTACCTGCCAATAGCACTAGCCCTGGTGGCAGAGTGGTTACTCCTTGGGCTGCTAACCACAAGGTTAATGGTTCAAAATTACCAGCTGCTCCTCGGGAAAAAGACAGGGCTCCCAGTCCTGTTGGCTCAGTATGTGTGTGCATCGCCTCGATGACAGTGAGGTTTTTTTGGGAAGGCACCAGTGTGGGGGAAGTCAGATCCTTGCTACTAGACTGCTGTCTCATCCCACAGCAGGGCTGGGCCTGCTCCCTGCTGCTGGGGACAATGGCCTACTACTCTCTGAAGCTTGGGACCATTAGCTTGGTTCCTGTAGGAGGGGTTTACACCTTACTGATAAGGGTTCCTATGGAGACCCAGAGACCACCCCCTAGACCACCCTCTCATTGCTGTGTAACCTATAGTGCAGCCCCTTCCTGTGACATATGTCTTTACCTGTAATTAGTGGGCTGGATTGCCCCCAAAAGGTATATATATAGGTGTAAGACTTCAAGGACTTCTCTCTCTGACTCTGACCCTGAGCTCCTTGCTCCTCACTCCCTGGTTACTCCCCTCTCCCCTGTTTCCCTTACCCTCCTTCCCTCCCCCCTCTCCACGTGGACCACCAAGCTGGGCTGAGGAGAGCAATGTTGCTATGTATCGTGCCTGACTGTATTATTGTATTATCTCTCATGCTCTCGATGACTTTAATATAATACTTATATATCTCAACCGTACAATTGTGCATTACTGAACCCAGAAGTAGTATTACTGAACCAGTGAGTTCAAGCAGCGGGTGGGGGCTGGTCCCCTCACCCTCCCCAAGCATCATTTATTTTTTTTATTTAATACTACACACCAGGTAAATGGGAAGAGAGGCTGAGACAGGGGCCCCGTTTGCCATCTTGGGCCTTTGTGTGGCTTAAAACAGGGGTCACCTCGGGGCAGACCAAAGTCCAGGCACTTGAGTTTTGTGGCTTTCAGTTTCCTGGTTCTTACCTCTCCTGGACTTCCTTACTGTAAAATGGGACATGATTCCTACTCTTCCCTACTCATTAGCATGCTTAATGAGAAGCTAATTGTGATTGGCAGATAGCGCTTAAGAGGTGGGCTCTATGGTCAGGCTGCCTGGGTTTACTGTGCAACCTTGGGCAAGTTACTTAACACCTCTGTTCCTACGTTTCCTCATTTGCCCACTCAGAGTTCTGTAGTCAGTCAGTGTTCTGGGTGCTAAATGAGAGACCATGCCCGCAGTGTCTGACAGTCTGCTGTTCTTGTATGGGGTGGCAGTGGGGGTTCAGAAAGTACAGGAAAACGGGAGTAAAAGAGAAAGGAAAGCTCCCGTGTGTGTAATCCCGATCGTCCCTGTCACCTCACATCAGCATGCGCCTGCCAGCTTCGAACAGCCTTCATTCTCTGCCGATTCGAAGTCTGTGATGTGTTTGGGAAGAAGGGGAGTGAGCTAGGGGTTGTTAACCATTTTTGGGTGAGGAAAGCTGAGGTCCAGGGAGACGCGGAGGCGTTCCCTCTTCACACAGCTAGGAGGTGGCGCAGCAGATGCTAGGACAGGGGTTCTCAGCCTTCCTAAGCCGTGACCCCTTCACACAGCTCCTCATGTGGTGGGGACCCCACCCCAACCATAACATGATTTTCCTTGCTACTTCATCACTGTCATTTTGCTACTGTGATGAATCGGGTGACCCCTGGGAAAGGGTCGTTTGATACCCAAAGGGGTGGAGACACACAGGTTGAGAACTGCTCCGCTAAGAGCTCCTGCTCCAGGGTCGCTTTGCTTTCCGGCCCTACAGGTGTCATGGAAACCTAAGGCAGAGATGCCTGAGGGCTACCAGCTGAGGCACCCAGGGTGCTTGTCCAGGACAGACACCCACAGTGGCCTGAGGAGGGATCCAGGGCCCAGACGGGATGAAGAAGAAGATGTGGGGCACCGAGCACAGATTGGAAGGGGGTGAAGAGTGTGTGTTGGGGGGTGGGGGGCGGAATCTAGGCAAGGACCCAACATCCTGCTCTGCTCTTGAGCCTCTCTGTCGCCCTTGACTTCCCGGCACATCTCTGGGAAGGGTGGGACCCCATTCCACAGATGGGGAAACCGGGTCAGGATGAGGTGGGAGGCAGCAGGCTGGGGTGCATGAGAAGCCCCAGTCTCCGTAGTGGGTGAATTGCCACTTCCCGGGGTGAGCTTCCTCCTGTTGCCATGACGACCGTTCCCGGGGAGCCTACACTGCTGCAATCTGTCGAGTTATTTTCTCACTGGCGTCTGTTTCTGGGGCCAAGTCCAGTGCCAAGAAGGCTCAGGATGGTGGCGGATGCCTGGCAGGGCCCGCCGCATGCCCTCCCTACCGCTCTCCATCGCTGTTGCCTGAGCCTGTGGGAGGGGACCTGGAACTTGGCCCTGACGGGGTCTCCAATACCAGCCTAGGTTCCTCACCCCTCCTCATCTGGCACCCTCTCTCTCCCTCTTGCCCGTGGAGATGCCTGTGGGCATACACTCCTCCTGTTCCCATCTCCAGGATCAGGGCTAATTACAGCCTATAATTAGGGGAATTACACTCATTAAGGAAAGAGCTGATCATTGACAAAAACTGGGCCGAGGAGGGAGGGCTTCTGGGAGCGGAGAAAGACAGGACTGGGCCAGCTCTCTCAGCCCCTCCTTGGGGTCGGCTCCCCCTCGCCCGGCCTCTACCTTTGTCTGGCCCCATAGAAAGGAGGTCCAGGGTTTTGTGCAAAGGAATTTGCAGCAAGAGAGGTTGCTGTGGCGTGAAATTATGCCCGCCACCGGGGAGGATTGATGGGCCATTAGGGAGGCTGCCAGGGATGCCTAGACACTCACCCGCGCCTCAGCTCGCCCCCCAGTTTCTGCCCGGCCCCTGCCCTCTGCCAGGCTTCCTGCTGCCAAGGCCAGGACTTCTGCTCCCAGCTTGGTGGGGGAGGTCTGGGGAGGGGGTGACTGACCCTTAGGTGTGGCTCTGCATCTGGGATCCACAGTGGAGTGCCCATCCTCCTGCTGGCTGTGAGCCCCCGCAGGGCCGGGGAAGTGGTCCGTGACAACACAAGACGATCCCATAATTGTTCACACCAATTATTTCTCCATTAGCGTGCCCCAATCGGAGCTAGGTTAACCTGTCACAGCTATGTGGAAGGAGCTGGGCTCTAGATGACTTTGTGCCTGGCGGTGGTGGGGATGGATGGGTGGGTGGAAGGGGGGGGGTCCTCTGGGGAGAGCGGCATCTCCCCCTTCCCCAGCAGTGCAACCATGATCAATACTCATTTCCTTGATGGAGCACGTGCTGAGCACTTGACTGTTTTACGTACTCCTCACCTGGACTTTGAGGGACAGGTGTTGTGGTCTCCCGTTTCTAAGTGGGCCAGCCCGTGGGGTCCAATGACCTGTCTGCAGCACTGGGAGCCCATGGTGTACAATTCACACACAGACCTGCTCTTCTCCTGAGCCTGGGTTTTTCCACTGAGCTCTTCTGAGCAGTTAACTGGGGAGAGGGCCAGGGTCAGGGTGGGCAAGGCAGCTCAGGAGGGTCCAGCTGGACGCTGAGGGCTTCCTATGGCAGTGCCACGTCCTTTGACCTTGAGTCCCTGGCATTTGCAGGGTGGTCTTCTACAGTGATTGCCTGTTGACATGACTACCCGTCTCCAGTTGTACAGAGCTTCTGGGCACCTCAGGAGCCCTCCTTGTTTGCCCCCGGCTGAGACAGTGTCTTCGACCCCCACGAGGGCAGCCAGCCTAGGCTGGCACCTGCCTCGGTGGCCCAGACTTACCTTGGTAGTGGAAGTGGAAGGTGCCTGGCCCTGCAGGTGGTGGGAGGCTCTGGAACCTCAGGGCCGCTTGGTGGGTGGGGCTTCGGATGACGTGACCCCGGAGCAGGAAAGATTGGTTGGCCAGGGGCAATGGGTCCGGTCCCCCTAGGCCCTCCACTGTCACAGTCTCTCCCTCCCGGAGGCTGATGTTCTGGACCTGCCCAAGCAATAGAAAGTGCGCAACAGAGCCCTCAGTCAGGCTGCCTCTGGGTCCGTGGAGCCCCATGCCCTCAGGCTCCTGCAGGCCCTACATGTGGTCAGCCCGGCTGCCTCCCTACCTCTTGGGCACCAGCACTCCCAGACCTGAGCTGGGCACTTCAGGACTGGAGTAGTTCAGTGTGCCTTCCCACCACTTCATGAGATGGGCCCTGAGACTCCGAGACACTAGGAAGTTACCCAAGGCCACACAGACTATTAGTACAACTGGGACGCAGAAGCCGCTCTGTTCCAAAGCCTTCCTCCGGCACCAGCTGCTTCCTGTCTCTTCCCCTCTGGGGCTCAGTTTTCTCATCCATCACATGAGATGGTGCAAGTATGCTCGATTTCGATGGTGACTGTAGGCCGGCCAGCATTGGGGCCCAGGTGCCCCACTCACTGCCCTTGGAAAGAAACCCCATTGGTGTCTCACCGATGTGAAGGATGAAGGGTCTTTGGATACCCAGCCTGCCTCTTCTGAACCACCCTCTGTCCCAACCTGCAGCTCCCTGGTTCCCATCCCAGTGGACGACTGCATCATCCACCAAATGCCGGAGTCAGAAACTGGCATCTTCCCTCCCGCCTCCGCCTCCATATCCAACCAGCTACTCAGCCCTGCCACTCTTCCAGGTCACCAACAAACCCAAAAGGCAAACTCACTGCCATCGAGTGGATGCTGACTCACAGGGACCCTATAGGACCAGGAGAACTGCCCCTGAGGGTTTCCCAGACTGTGACTCTGTATGGGAGGGATAGCCCTGGTTCTCCCACAGAGAGGCTGATGGATTCTAACTGCTGGCCTTCCGGATCACAGCCCGACTCCTCGTAAGGACTACCACCAGGAGTCCTATAGCTCACCCCCAGCAGCCTCCTTTGAGGGGTCTCCTGTAGGGCTTAACCCTCCCGTACCAACATCAAGAGCCTGAAAGACCTGTTGCTGCTCGGGCTACTTCCTCCTTCAGATCCTCCGGCAGCTCCCCCGCGGAGCCCTGGGACCCTGTGGGATCAAGTCCACACGCCTTCCTGGGTCCTGGAGGCCCTCCCAGCCTGGCCCTGGCCCACTGTGGTGACCACTCAGTCCTCCTGAAAGCTCTTCTCTGAGCGTCTTTCTCTGCACACCTCTCTCTGGCTGTCACTGCAGCCAGCCAGAGAGCAGCCAGGGGAGAGGAAAGGTCTTGACCCCAGATGCCAGACTTTCCTAGGGAAAGCCTGGAGCGGTGGGGCTGCTGGAACTGGTGGCCCTGAGATCTCCAGGAACCTGAGCGGGGAGACGCTCCCATTGCAGAGTCTCACCTACATAAATGCCCAGCGGGGTGGGAGCAGAGGTGGCCCATAGCTGCAGTGCAGGTCAAAGAGGTAGACAAAGCCAATGGAATATGCCGGGAGGTTTGGGCCTGGTCCTCTGGTCAACCTGAAGCCAGCAGCGGTAGCAGCAGCAGCAGCAGGTTTGGGTGAGAGAGAGACCTGACCTGGCCTGAGGCAGCCAGGGCCGGGGTGGGCTGGGAAGAGGGAGATGGGGATGACCAGGGCCCTCAGAGTCAAGTAAAAGACATAGGAATGAAGGGAAGGAGCCTATCAGGAAGAGAGTTGGACGGTAAGATTCGGGACCATTTGGTGACCCTCGGAGGTGACCTGGAAGGTCCTGACTTGGAGGTAGCGTGGAGATCAGGTGGCATCCGGGCTTCTGAATCACCCAGGGGTCGTGTTAAAATGCAGACGATGATATGGTTGATTTGAGGTGGGGACTACAATTCTAACAAGCTCCAGAGCCGTGCTGATGCTGCTGGGGCCACATCTTCAGTAGCAGGAACCTACGTCCAGCCGTTTCATCCGATGAGGAACGGGAAGGTCAGCTGGTCAGCATGTTTGTCCAAAGTTCACACGGTTAGGGGGAGGTCCCGGATGTCTGGGCTCCGCTCCAGTGCTCCTTCCACTGGGCCACATGACCATGACCCCTCCAGAATCAGTCTGCTGTGGTCCACAGAGAGCCTGCTGCTCCCCCAGCCTCTGCCTCCCAGGCTAGTCCAGACAATCCCTCTGCTTCAGGCTCTCCCCTCCTGCCCTCGACGTAGTTCTCTATGCCAGCTTGGGGTCACGCCGCCCTCCCGTCTGGCTGGTCTCGATGCAGATGCAGAGAGAGTCAGCGAGTGGTCCAGCCTTCCCTCCTTGGTGTTCTGACAGCTAAGAAGCGTTGAGGATGCTGGGCCCAGCCACATCCTGGGAGTCAGTCCGACCAGGCTCTAGGTTCCAGACTGGGATGCTTTGGGGAGTTCAGAGGGGAGGGAGGACCTGGTAGATCTTCAGGGGTCGAGGAGCAGGCTTGAGTCTGGGTGCTGGTAGGGTGGGGGGCAGAAGCACCTCTTCTCCATGAGGAGCCCTGCCCAGGCATGTTTGGGTAGAGGCTGCTGGACCATCTGCTGGAGCCGCTTCCTGGGGAATTCCTGCCGCAGGCGGAGGCTGGATGAGGTCCCTTCAAACTTGGAGATATTCTGTGATTCTAGAGTTGGGAAAACAAGACTCACACACGTGGAATCTGTAATTATCGAGAGATGCCAGGCAGCATCTAATTCTGCCTTAAGTGGTACTGAATGTGTACAGCAGGAACCCTCCGGGGGCTGGAGGCTCAGCCAGAGCATGTGTAGCAGGTGGGGTTTGCCAGCCTGCAGGGGGTGCTGTGAGGAGCTGGAGGGAGGGCATTCACTGCAGGGGAATGGAGCAGGCCCAGGCTGATGGGCAGCTGGACCGAGCATGAGTTCTCTTCCTTGTCCCTGTATGCCCTCTCTCAGCCTCTGGCTCCCAGTTCTGATCCAACGCAGGACAGGAACAGCAGCCAGTAGGACAGCTCCTCCCAGGGCACTGTGAGCACGCTGATGAGATGCCTGATGGCACAAAGGCTAGGCGGCTTTATCCTGCCAGCGGCTCCACAGGAGAAAGGCCTGGCAAGGTCAAGATGAAAGCCGAGGAAACAGGTCACTGATTCTACAGAGCCCTCCAAACCATAACACCCAATTCGATAAGGGTGCTATCGTGAGATGCCATCGAGTGGGCTCCGACCCATAGCGGCCCTGTGGTCACAACGGAACAGAACACTGCACAGTCCTGGGCCATCACAATTGTGCCTCTCTGCCTGAGCCCATGGCTGCAGCCCTTGTGTCCGTCCAGTTCACTGAGGGGCCCCCTCGTCTTTGCTGCCCCTCCCTCCACTTGACCACGCATGATGTCCTTCTCCAGGAACCGGTCTCTCCTGAGGACATGCCCAAAGTCTGGAAGACGCAGTCTGGCCATCCTGGCCTCCAAGGAGCGCTCTGGCTGGACTTCTTCCGAGACAGGTTTGTTTGTCCTGGTAGCAGTCATGGGACTTTCAGTACTCTTCTCCAGCACCACCAGTCAAAGGCATCGGTTTGTCTTCAGTCGTCCTTATTCAAGGGCCACCTTTCGCAGGCATAGGAGGTCATGGAAAATACCATGGCTTGGGTTGGGCGCACCTTAGTTAATTCTATAAGGTAGATGTTTAAATTCCCATCAATAAATAGAGGTGCAGAGAAGCTAGGCGACTTGCTGAAGGTCCCACAGGTGTCAAATAGCTGGGTCTTGCCTGAGAGTAGGCAAAGGCAGCTTTGCCCTTCTGGGCGTCCTGAGGGGGTCACCTGCGGACTTACAGACACTTTATTGCTCAGGCCCCCGGGCTTAGTAAGGGAGGGAGTTCTTAGCCTGGCCTGGATTTTCCCATGATGTTGAGTTCTCACCAGCTCTCTCTTCCCCAGAAGCCCGTAAAAGCAGGGCAGCTGGTGGCTGAGGTCTCTGGGCAGCCTCTGATTTAGGGGGGAGGCATGGCCCCCTCACGCCTGCAGGGGAGGGTAGAGATGAGATCACAGGCTGGAGTGAGCGTCCCCCGCCCCCGAAGCCACCCTGTCCCCAGCTAGCCGCTGTCTGGGCAGCTCTGGCCCCCCGGGTTTCAAGCACCCACTTGCGGGCTTGCCACAGTGGCTGAAATGTAATTTGTCACTTGTTTGAGGGCTGGCCTGACAGGGGCCAGACAGGGCTGGGTGTCGGACAAGGGCGGGTGATGAAGTCTTGATGCAATTTGCAGGCGTGTGAAGAGCCTGGGAGACAGATTGAAATGTCAGCTCTGCTCATGAGGGCTCGTCTTCCCGCACCCCAGCCAATGACAGGAGAGGGTCTGGGGGAGGGGAGCCGCCAAGGCAGAAGAGGAGGCTGAAGACAATTCCCGCAGGACACCGGGCTGTCGAACACTTCAGTCGACCACGAGGTCACGACAGAGAAGGAAATCGAGCCCATGTGGGGAGGCTGGCGACTTCTTGGGTGGGAGACAGGGACGGCTCAGGCCACCCCCAAGATGTCACCCCTTGACCAGCCTATCTGTCCCTAGCCCTGGACCCCATGATGTCATTTTCTTTGGGGGCAAGCATTTGCTCAAGTTCGGTCCTGTGAGTAACCCCACCTCTCGTCCTAACTACCGGCCAGAGCCCCTCCTCCACACTCTCTTGGTCACCCCTCCCCCCGCCCCAGTGTGGGCACTGGCACAGACCCCCCCAGGCATGCACACAGGCCCTGACCCAGTCCTACAGCCACAGCGTTCTCCTCGGCCCTTCCCTTCGGCCCTTTCCCAGCTCTTTCAAGCGCAGTATCCTCCCTGAGCCACAAAAGCCCCGCTGGCTGGGGGGTGGTGGGGGGAGGGACACAGACAAGCCTGCTCCACCCCACTTTATAGGTGCAGGAGCCTTGAAATCAGAGAAGGCAAGAGGTCCGTCTTGGGTCACACAGTAAGTTCAAGGCAAAGCCCAAAGCTGGGGCTCCTGTCTCCCGGTCCTGGTGCCTGGCTCCATGCACTGGTCCCTAGGCCCTGCCCCAGGTGGGCGTCCCCTAAGTCTGCCTCAGGCAGGGCAAGGCTGAGAAAGGGGTCCTGGGTGACCCGTCCCTGCCAGCAGTTCCCCTCTGGAC